GGCTCTACCCACGCTCCAGCCCCGCCGTCAACAGGCTCCTCCGGGACATGCAAGACTTCACCACTATCAGTGCCGGTAAGCACCCTCCTGCTGCGGAGACGGGGCCGTTGGGAGCTGCACGGGGCTGGGGGGCTGCAGCCCCCCCAGATCACTTTTGCAAACAAGGCAGGGGCTGTCGCTCGCTGGAGGAAGCCCCGAGCCCTGTGCCGGCTTCCCAGCAGGTTTTGTGCCGTGCAGTTGCCGTGCCTTTACCTTGAGACAGGAGGAAGGACTCGGCTGTGGCCCTTGATGCAGCATTTTTTGGTGCCAAGCATGCCGGGGACCCGTTGCATGACAGTTTAATCCCAAGAGGCTGCCTCAGGCCCCCCCGAGGGGACTGCACCCCTCGCTGTGCACCGATGGTACCGGGGCTGCCAGGCTGGGGTAGCGCGGGCAGGCAGGGACGGGCAGGCAGTGCCTCCCTGCATGCCCCATGCTGGGAGGGGGGTCAGCAGCAAGAGACCGAGCCCGGCGGGGTCTCACCCCTCCTCCTACCCTTGCAGACTACAGCCAGGACGAGAAAGCGCTGCTGGGGGCCTGCGACTGCAGCCAGAGTGAGTGCGACGCTTCGGGTCCCTGCGCTCCCCCCAGCACGCCATCGCTTCAGCTGACCCCAATCCCCGATTCCTCCACCCTAACCTCAGCAGGGGGAACGCAAAGCCAGGCAATGCCAGGCCCTTCTCCCTCCAATTAAACCCCACCACCCCAGCTGAGGCTGGGACGTGGGTGCCAGGACACCAGTACGCCACTGGTTTCTACTGGGGGAGGGAGAGAAAAAAGTCCCCAAGAGGACGTAACAAACGGCTATTGGGAGAAGTGCTGGAGGGAAATCTCCTCTATGGCACAGGGGAGAGGGAGAGAGAGGAAAAATAACTGCAGAAGCAGAGGGGAGCAGCTGGAAGGAGCGATGGGATGCACTCACCGGGATGGAAAGCCGAATCGCGCCGGAGCGCGTAACCGCGTGCCGGGGAAGCTTTCCTTTTCCGAGGCGGCTAACGTCTCGTTTCCTCCCCAAGTTGTGAAGCCCAGCGGCGTGCACCTGAAGCTGGTCCTCAGGTTCCAGGATTTTGGGAAAGCCATGTTCAAGCCCATGAGGTAAGGCACGCCGGCAAAGCCCCCGCCTCGACCCCCCCCAAGGAGCCCCGCAGCGCGGGGTGCGAGCATCCTTGGCAAGGACAGGCACACCGCAGCCGCGTCTTTCCTCTCCTGCGCTCAGCTACCTTGACAGCTGAAAAGGTTTCATTATTACTGGCTGCTTGCACCGTCCCAGAGCCGCCCGCGGATAAACACCGGTGTTCCCACACCGCTTATTGACATTTGAAATTTCTCGGTTCATAGATGCCAGACGGCAAAGGACCTTGGGGCACTTTGCTGTTAGGGACTGCCCATTTCTTCCTCTTCCCCAGCTGACTTTGTGCTTTACCTTGTTTCTCCTTGGATTTCCCAGAGCATTTCCAAGAAATAACCATCAGTCCCGGTCACCTCAAACAGGAGTTTTAAATTGCTTTTGCACTTATTTCTGGCCCTGTGGGACTCTTCACGTTTATTCCCCCTCACTTTACTTTCCGTGCACAGGCAGGACAGCTACAGCTGGCAGCACACCGGCTGTGATGGTTTGCTCATCCAGAAAGCAGCCAGCTCCTCTCCCGGTCGTTTCCGTCCACCTCTGCCCGGTGGCCGGCAGGTCCGGGAGGTGAAGGAAAGCATCCGTGCACTCAGCTGGGCCAGGAGGGCTCAGCAATGCCTGCGGGCTTTCCTGTGATACACAGCTGCTTGGGAGGCCGCGCATGCAAATTCACATGCCACACATATTGGGGCACTGTGTGACAGCCAGAAAATGAAATTAAATGAGCTGGTGTTCCCATCTCAGGGATGTGACAGCATCAAACCTGAGCTCTTCTCTACCTCCCACAGGGACGTGAGAAGTGCAGCATGGCCTCTAGCATACCCCAACGCTGTCCGAAGTGGATCTAAACTCCGGCACAAAGAGTTTTAAAGCCCACAGTCAGCCCTCCTGCCTCCCTCACCCAGCCGGCACCGAGTCAGGGTTGGCTCCGGCTCAGCGCCGGGGACTTTGGGTCCTGGCCTGGGCACCAGGCGCTGCAGCTCTGCCCGGTGGCCCTGGCACCAGCGCGGCCACACGACGGCCGTTCCCCAGCACATCAGCTGTCCCCGGGTGCACTGTCCTTGTGCCACCACTTTGCGTCCAGGCTGCCTCCCGCTGCCCGCACCCCTGCCTGCCTGCCCTGCCCGGTTAGATTAACCCCCTTGATCTCTCCCAGGCAGAAACGTGACGAAGAGACTCCTGAGGACTTTTTCTATTTTGTCGACTTCCAACGGCACAACGCGGAGATCGCCGCCTTCCACCTGGACAGGTAGGGACCTGCCGCCTCCTCCAGCTGCCAGCACCTGGTCCTCTGCCCGTGGAGAGCTTGGGCGTGAGGAAAGCCGTGCTGAGTCCTGCAGAGCTGCTTGGCCTTAGATACGTGATTGCCTTGCAGCACCCTTCTGGGAGCTGCTGTATTACTTGGGGACGGGGCGGCTCTGGCTCTCATCTGAAGCCCAGGGTCAGCTTCGCCTTGGCCACTGCATGAGAACAGGCTAGCAGATGAAGTCCGGGTTGCAAACGGGTCAGGTATTTGTCACACGCACATGGTCCCTCCCGTGCATCGAAGTACAAAGATGAGCTCTGGGTGCAGCCTGGATCCCCTCCCGGTGCGGGAGTCACACGCTCAATCAGCAATCAAGGCATGTTTTGGATTGAGACAGACCGCAGCCATGCAGTTTCAGGCCCTCAGCTAATGAGCAATTAACCTGGCACCTCTTCCCAGCAGGCTTTGTATTTAATAAAATCAAAAATACTCTTAGTAGAAGAGGAGGGCAACAGCCTTCTTCCCCTCGATGGGATGAGTATTGAATATCAAGGGAAGTGATCCCTGATGACAATGGTGGATGGGGGTCTCCAGTTCCCAAGCCCAACTTACACGATAAGCAGGACTAAGTCCTGTAGCTCAAACTCTGAGCGAGGGAATGAAGAGAGCTGAATTCCCGTTCCAGCTCTGACCCAACATCACCGCAGTGACTCTGCCTGACCCGACGACCATCAGCTTGCCTCTCTGCATCCCAGCTCCACCGCCAGAAAAATGAGGCTGGACGGCTTTTCTGAAGTGCTTTGTGGTTTTTAGAGCTGAAAGACGCTAGATGAAAGCAAATGATTTTTTTTTTTTTTTCCTTTAAACATTGCTCAACAAGTAACAGGCTAAATCCTGTTTTGTGCCCGACTCTCAGAAGCAGAGGGCATTACCCAAGGAGCAGAGAACAGCATTAGCCGGTTCACTCCACGTTACTGACTCAGCAATCAACAGCGGCTTTCCATTCACTGACACGAATGCCTGCCTGCCCCAGGCCCTGATTTTTTTAACGATATTTGAGATGAATCAGCCAGGCATGAGTGCTTCCGAGTGGGGTGATCCCTCCTCGCCTCCCACTGTCTCGGCCACCATGTACCAAGTTCAACGCATCTTTTCTCCGTGTCAAACCCAACATCGTAGAAGGGCCTGAAGAGCTGTTCTGCCTCCCGAAGGACCCAGCTTGCATGGAAGGGAATGGGAGAAACTGGTTAGGGAAAAGACATGAATCCTGGAGAACATCCAGATTATTCCAGGCGGCAGCTATTAAAATACCAAAGCCCGAACTCGGCCGCATTTTGGTCCAGAGGGTAAAATGATCCTGGCTATTTGCTAGAAAGAAGCTGGGAGAAAAAAACCATCCATGTGGGTGCAGTCATCAAAAGGCCCCCGGTTGACCAGCGGAAGGGACGAGGGCAGCATCTGCCGTCCCACGTTGCCGTCCCGTGCAGTAACGTCTCTTTGCACCGCAGGCTCTGAGCCACTGTCCCTTTTGTGCAGGATCCTGGATTTCCGGAGGGTGCCGCCCACAGTTGGGAGGTTGATCAACGTCACCAAGGAGATCCTGGAGGTCACCAAGAACGAGATCCTGCAGAGCGTCTTTTTTGTCTCACCAGGTAGGCGAGGGCTTGGCTGCTGCGAGCTGGGATTAGACATGTTGGTCCATGGTGGGTGGAAGGGCAGGGTCTGCATGCAGCAGGACTTGTGCCGTTCAGCGGAAATTAAATTCTTGGGTGTAACGTGCACAAAGACACGGTTACAGTAGAGGTGTCCCTCAGCCTCCAGCTGGAATCATCTGCCAGATCTACTCGCCTGCCCAATTTTCCCCAGCCTCTCCCCTAGCATGGGACCAGGTCTGTCCATCGAACAAAATCCAGGTATTGTCCACGATTTGGCAGTTTCACATCCATGATGTGGTTACATATGCCACAATATATGCAGTCACCGTCACGCGATGGGGAAGAAGTCAGTCCAGGCTACCTTGCGGTCTCCTGCAAATCGTAGCTCCTTTCCCCGTTCTCCTCTCTCTTCTCCTCCCAGCCAGCAACGTGTGCTTCTTTGCCAAGTGTCCATACATGTGCAAGACTGAGTACGCGGTGTGTGGGAACCCTCACCTCCTGGAAGGGTCCCTCTCCGCCTTCCTGCCGTCCCTCAACCTGGCACCACGCCTCTCCATCCCAAACCCGTGGATCCGGTCCTACTCGTTTGATGGAAAAGAGGAGTAAGTGGGTAAATGATGCTGCTTCCCATATCTGCGTTGCAGGGAACGCATGGGAAGGAGAACGAGCAGGGTACAGACACACGGACATACGTACAGAAATTGTATGTCCAGGCAGAGGAAGGCCAAGGTTCAGAGATTGTCCATAATTAGTTTAATAACTCTTAATGCCTGGAGATCTCTGCACGGGAGACCAGCTTTGGGGTGCTGTTGGGACCCAGCAGCAGCAACCACTGAGTGCGTCTCCCCCTTCTCCATCTCCTGCAGGTGGGAAGTGAATCCGCTCTACTGCAACACGGTGAGGGAGATCTACCCCTACAGCAATGGCAACCGGCTGCTTAACATCGTTGACATGGCCATATTTGACTTCCTAATAGGTATGACGAAGGGGAAAATAACCTTCGCTCCTTCCGTGTGGGCCTTCAGCATCAGTCTGTCTGCCCTCCCACGCCACGGTGTTTCTCAAAGCCATCCCTTCTGTTCCAGAGACAGTTTTGGGAGACTCCTGTCTCCCCGCAGCCAGCCTGACGTGCGGGCGAGGGGGAGCCCCCAGGCCCACCCCAGCCCACGCCCCGGGGGGGTCCAGCAAGATGAAAGCAGTAGCTCTGAGCATCTTAGACACTTCCAGCAAGGCAAACAAGTATTTCATGCAGATCTGAAAGAAAACGTAGGATAGTTCAGAAAATTACTTGGTCACATGCAAGGGAAACTGTTCCTCTGTCTGCCCTTTACCAGGGAACATGGACCGTCACCACTACGAAATGTTCACCAAGTTTGGGGACGACGGCTTCCTCTTGCATCTGGACAACGCCAGAGGGTGAGGCTGTGGGAGGACATCGGGGAGGGGGGCAAGGGGGTGGGCAGGCACTAAAGCTCTGCACTCTATGCTCACCCCCCCCAGGTTCGGACGGCATTCCCACGATGAAACCTCCATCCTGGCCCCGCTCTCCCAGTGTTGCATGTAAGTGCCAGCTTCATCTTCCTTCCCAGACACGTTGGTGTTCCCACCGTAACGGGCTGGCAGTGCTTGCTGCTGGAAGTCACCCAGGCCTGGCTCCATCCAGCAGCACAGGAAAGACCCCCCGCTAATCCCAGCCAAGGGGGCAGGCCAGACACCGGAGCATGGGAATCACGAGTTGTCCCTGAAACAGGGATTAAGCTTTTGTATCAGTTAGAGTATTAAGCTCTGTTGTGCTGCAGCCTGCTACGGTGTCATACGTCTACCCTTCCTGGATACTTTCCCGTTGAAGCTAAAAGACTTTGCAGGTGTAAAAGCTTTCAGTGATAGACCAGGAGACACTGTCCGTTGGATTAAACCCTTCCAGAAGTGTCTCCTAGCATTTCCCAGCCCATCGACATGAGGTGCTATCAGCCCCATTCGTCTGCGTGAAGCTCAGAAATCTGCATCCCAAAGCCTGGTAGAACTTTAGTACAGCTAATCAGGTTTCTTCTTCCCATGGCAACAAGCAGAAGCTCATAAATTTTACTATTTGAATCCTATCTTATCCCTTTGTTAATTCACATAAATCAACTGAAAGTTAAATTTAAGAGACAGAAAAAGCTGCTCTTCCCTGTGGTTTCTCTCTAGGAGATGCCTAACCTATTTCCTCGCTGTCCCTGCTCCATCTCAGCCTCAGGGTGTTAACTGCACTCCCTCCCCAGACACTTGTAATACTGGATCTAATTTTAAGAACTGCTATTTGCACCCAGTGAATCTTTTCACTTATAATTACAGGCTCGCAATGAATCCTTCTCACGAACTCCTATTTTGTGTGGTTTAAATTAACTCTGCCTCTTAATTTGACCTGTATACAGTAAGATCCACAGGTCAGATCCTTCCTATTCTTCCAGATCCACCTCCCAGAAGCTCTTCTTAATTTAGTTCTCCTTGTAAAAGACAGTGGTAAGAAGACCTGCAAGTCACACCTTATAATAAGCCATCTAGGGCCAAGAACAGCATAAAAGCATCTCATGCTGCCTGAGGGAGACACACAAAACTTCATTTCCCACAACAGCCAATCCATTCAGAGCGGAGGAGCATCCAAAAACACTTGGAAAGGAAATAAAAAGGTTTTTTTGAGTAGGTACAGAGGCCACAGATTTCGGCCTGCCCTTACCAACTAGCTGGACACAGCCCACCGAGTCACCTCCCTGCTCCTCTGTGAAGTCGAGCCGTGTACACCCAAGCAGAACAAAGTCCTCCAGCCCCTCCAGACAAGGGGGACCACTCCAACCACAGGGACGCTCCATTTCCTATTCAACACATTCATCTCGTTCCCCAGCTGAGTTCTTCTCTAAGTTTGGCTTCCAGCAGATTTAAGTCTTCTGGTATTTTTAGCTACCTTGCCCAGCTCCCACACCAGTCCTTGTCCCACATGTTGAAGTCTGCTGCTCTCCTCTCCCAACGTACAGTAAATGGCACAAATAGAGCCATGCAGTAAGAGATGGTCCTTTTCCTGAAAGGGTTAAAACCCTCAACAGGGCACAGATAGGCCTGAAAACGGCCCCCAGTTAACCTAGCTCATGTATCTTCTTGGCCGAGGATGTCCCTAGAAGGCTCTGGGTCAAATCTTCAACAATTCAGAACAACAGCGGGGTTACAACTGCCCTGCGGGAGAGGAGCAGGGCCAGGGGCAGGATTTCCATCTCACGCTCCTTTCCATATTCTGCCTGTTTCTTACATAACCCTTACAGCATTAAATAAGCCATTCCCCACAGGGTCAGACTATCCCGTTCTCCATCTCCAAGCCCCGTCGCTGTTCGGACCAGAGCAAACACAGCTGGCGTTTACCCACAGCAGCTCCTCACAGTCACCCCTTGCCTAGAAGGAGAGCGTACGCACGCTCGTTTGCTGCGGTTCGCATCTGCTCTGTGTAAGGCTTTCTCTGGCAGCAGCAGCAGAACCTCACAGCCGTGCTCCGGCAGTGATTTAAAGCCTCCTTGCCAGCCTTAGCACTTGATCAATTGAAATTTTTTTTTTTTTTTTTGGTAGGAATATTAATGCAAGCCTGGCAGTGGGCAGCCAGGACAACAGCCACAGTTTAAGTCGCCTGCCCCCGTGCCAGCACTGCGCAGGAGGCAGCCGGTCGCAGCACCTTTCTCCCTCCCTTGTGCAATGCAACAGGCATCACTGACCAAAGACGTGTACCTCGCTTGGCTGCTCCAGAGCATTACGAGCACCTGGTGCAATTCAGCCGCTGCTCGGCCAGGCACAGCAGCACCAACAAGCCTTTCCCCTGGCATCTGAACAGCGTATGTCCTGTTAGAGTTGCAGAGAGCCAGATCGCTGTTCCCGATCAATGCCTTGGGTAAATAACAGGCATACAAAGGCAAATTCTGGAGCTGGTTAAAATGTTTCTGACTACACCTTTTTCCATCTGAAAATTCTGGCTCAGCTAAATAGGAATGGCTCCACGAAATCGGACTACTTTGTTTCCAAAATTTAAAGGGCAATAATTAAAACCGCTGATTAGTTTCAGTATTAGAGATGCTGAAGTCAAAACACTTTTGCTGGGGATTAAACAAATGATTTCAGAATACTTAGTTTCTTTCCCAGAAGTGTTCCACGATGATAGCTTTTCACTCCACTTTCTGTCAAAGGGAAACAATATTTAAATCTCAGTACCTCTTAAGGTGAACAGTCATAGTTAAATCAGTTCCAGGAAACATTCCCTCTTTTTGCTCAGAGTTTTGACAGAAGATTTTTTTTCTCATTCATGCCTCTTCATTTTACCTCCCCCTCTGCCCCCACCCCATAAATGTCATCCCTGGGAACATGGCACCACCCTGCAGTAATCTGGGGAACTGGGTCATCTCTGACTCAGAGGAAAAACACTCACTACTGAACTTCTATCATGTTTGTCTCTCTGATGACAGAAATCTGCAGTACAAATACTCTGCAGTCTGGAAAAACAAAGGAAGAAGCAGAGGTTTCTGCAAAAATTTTCATTTCCTTCAGAAAGAGAAAGCTTTTTTCCCCAAAATTCTTTGTCAAGTATCTTCACCCATTTCTGCCCTCCTTCTTTCCCCTACCACCACAGCTGGTTCTTGCTAGGATGCCGCAAGAAGTTTGCATTAAGATGTCCGATTTCTTTTTTTCCAGAATAAAGAGGACAACGTTATTGCGACTCCAGCTCTTGGCTGAACCCGAATATCGGCTTAGCGATGTGATGAGGGAATCCCTCCTGCAGGACCGCCTGGCACCCGTCCTCACCGAACCCCATCTCTTGGCTTTAGACAGACGGTTACAGCTTATCCTGAAAGCTGTGAGGAAATGCATAGACACATATGGAGAAGCCAAGGTGGTGGCCAACGACACCACGCAGCCCGAGGCTCCTGCATCTGACAGAGTGAAGCTGACCACTTAAGCAGTCCTTAACTCATGCTCAGAGGTGGGGAAAACCCCTGCAAGGCAAGTGTTTTAATAGCTGGTAATTTCCACCTACAAACGCTTGCGGAGACCGAGAGGGGAAACTCTTCAGAAGATCTTCAAGAATCACACTGGGCTTCCATGCTGGGTATTCAACCAAAGCTTCTGTGCTTGGCCAGTGTGTTGGTAAGTTGTGGTCCGACTGCAGCAGACCTTTACACCCCGAATACCAGCTCTCTGGTGGAAAAGCAGGGATCTCCTGTTCTGTAGTTGGTCGTGCCCTTGGGAGGGCGGGGGAACACATGCCATTGGTTTGCTCAACCTGCACGGGATCTCGGTCTTGCTAGTGAAGGACACAAACTAGATCCAAGGATGAGGCTTGAATAAAGAGATGCCAAGAACATTTTCCTCTTATTAAGTCTCTGTTCTGTAATCAAGACTGTGTATTTGAGAAAAGAGCAATCTTACTTCACAAGGGCAGTACCTGCCACTGAGACAAGATAGCACATTGATTCGGCATGGTCAGACTGAAGAGCATCTGCACAGCATTCACCATCAAGCCTGTCCGTTGCCTCTTGGTCTCTTCAACAGTGATCAACCCGCTCCACTTCGATCTGTGCATGTCGCTCAAAAGCCCACTGCCTCACAGGGCAGTAAAACCACTTCTACTTTTACCTGCCTCGTGGGTGGAAGAGCCAGTCTGGGTTATGAGAGAAAGGCAGGTATGTGTTGCCTTTGACCTCAAGGAAAAAAACCAAACCAAAACAAACTGCTCAGAGGCATAGGACTGTATTTACAATTCAAGAAGCCACCCACTTCTGGTGAAAACATTTTGCCAAAGTGGGAGGATCTATCTCAGGTCATCTTCTCACTTCTCATAGCTTTAAAATCACTTACATTGTCAGAAGTCCCTAGAAAACAGAAATGGTACACACACACACACACACACACACACCCCCCTCATCTCTGTGCATTTTGAGATGCAATAGGAACTGGAGAAAAAAAAAAAAAAAAAAAGAGGGGAGGGAGTTTTTGGAGATCTTTCAATTTGTAGTTTTCCCCTTGCCTCTCAAGGAAAAGGCCTAAGAATGGTTTGAATACTGAAGCTCTCTTTAATAGCTTTTTCCTTTAACTGTTCAAGAATGAGTGCACTGAGCTCTTTGGCTGCCTAAAGAAAGTAGCTGAGAACTTTATTGATAATTTGTCATCCGGGGGTGAGGGGGAGAAAACACCACAACCAATCACTAGAAGCTCATTCTAAACTAACCTTTAAGTTAAACAAAAACCATCTACACCATTGCAGACCTTTCAGAGGAGAATCCTAAAACCATAGCACAAATGTTGTCAGGCCGCAGTTGTTAACAGGTTCTCAGCAAGCTGCTGCACCTACCACTAGCTCATTTTCTCATGGGCTGGAATTTTGCCCAACCTGAAGGGAACTCTGTGACATTTAAGTGCCTGGATCATGCAAGGAAGGAACAAAGCGTGTTTGGCCACAGCTATTGTTTTTCACAGGGGACTGTGCTGACATTTAATTCAGCTCCACAATAATTCTACAATACACCTGTCTCCACACTGTAAAACCACAGAGGAGACTGTAGTTGTAATTTGAGTATGTCCCTACAGGTGCCTGTTCTATTTATTTGTATGGGGAAGTTCGGAGTGTTTCTACTTAGCAAAGAGATTCCTCCAATATTCTGAAGCCACAAAGATCAGCGAAAAACCCCCCCACAACCAACCAAAAAAAAAAAAAAACCAGCCCACACCACACTCCTTTAGTCTCTCCCAACTTGTGATTCAGCCATGTCCTCCCATTTCCAGCTTTCACAAAAGCAAGGTTTTAGACAGCCTCAATCAAACAAACAGGATTCTCGACGTTGGTGGGCTTACATACCTTTTCATTCTTGTGGACAGAGAATAGATGAACATAAAAGGATTTAACTCACTCTCAGCATGCACGGTGCGGCGGTTATTTCGGTACAGGACGCTGTATTCCCGAAGTTGTATCTCCCTCTACCGGTGACTTTTTGTGCGCTCACCACACGTGACAAGCCCAAAATTAATTCGGTCAGTGTCATGGAATGGTTACTGTTGGCTGCTTGAACAGGAAGAACATGGCAACAGAAGATAAGTTTAAAAGTAAATTTATAAGGTTGGAAGTGGAAATTTTAAAGTTTCATTTTAGGTAATAAAGTTTTCAGCCTTTTTTTTGGGTCAAGGGGATGGGGGAAAGGGAGGGCAGGATGAAGGAAACAAACCCACAGATATTTAAATAGCTAGTACACTAACAGAGATTGCAAGGTTGCTTTCTTCTTTTTTTTTTTCTCCTTTACGTGGTAGCTTTTTAACATATCTTCAAAGTTGGGTGATAGCTTTCTCAGAGCTGGGTGCAAAACATGTCCAGTCTGAGCCGTTTCAGGTCACCACTCTTCAAATTTTTTCCTACTTCATCATAGTGTGAAAATCCCCCTCTTCTATTTCTCACTGCCTGTCCACCAGAACTCATCCACGATTAATCATCACGTGTTCAAAACTTTCATTAAGGATATGCATAGATGGGAGCAGACAACTTACAGAAGCTTATGAGCTCCAATAATAGTGGCTGGGCTGAGAATTAACAACCTTAAGAGATCAAAGCAGCATGAGTTGCTAAGAGACACTCAAGCAAGACCTTCTCACTTCAAAAGCAGTCATGTGCACCCAATGCCAGAACTCCAGAGAAGTTCCCAGGTCACAGGCACAGGTTGGCTCGTGGAGACCAAGCTCTCCGGCAGGCTCCAGAGGGGAAGGTTCAGTTGTGCTGTAAGCTAGGACTTGAAATCAAGCCTCCAGAGTTAACACAAAGCTAATCCATTAAGCTGCCTAGTTTCTACCACCTCATTAATAACGTACCCTCTAAGACCAAACGAAAACACAATAATATCGGGATTGGGGGGGGGTGGGGGGTGGGGGAAAAAAAAGAGACTGATTGCATTTAAGAATTTAAATCATTTTATTGCTTTACCTGCCATTAGGACAATCTATAACAAAAGGAATATAATATAATATATTAGCACATACAGTAAATCAGACTTATATAGTCAGGTAACAATACAAAAATGGTCCTCTGGTTGACTATAGCTTTCTAGGGCAATAGACTTCATAAATTCGCTAAAGGTGGACTAGCAAAAAATTACTTCTAAAGCCCTGAATGTTAGCTAAGGCAAAACTATGCCAATTGTGGTTTCAAACATATTTAAATTGCACACAAAGGTAAAGCTATAACTGTGATTAATATTTAACTCAGACTTAGCTGATTTATCTTAAAATCTTGTAGGTAAAACTACAAAAGGGAGTAAACAGCAAGCTAAAAAGATGCAGTAGTGAAACTTGATTAGAAAGCCTTATATAAAAAAAATGTGCATTTTTTTTGTGGAGCTCTAACTAGTTTACACAGTTTTTGGTGCTTTAAAGTAACACAAAGAACACATATGAAGAAAAAACCTGGATAGAGTCAAAACTTAAGAAAACAGTTTTACCAAAAAAAAAAAGATAGCATTTGCTTACTCCTTAAGGACTCTGGCAGAAATCCTCTACTCAACATCCCCTGAATAGAGAACTCAAACCACAAGCGTTTAAATCCCATTATTGGGATTTCAGGTTCAGAAATACCCTGAAACCTTTTGTAAAGGCTTGATACCCTCAGCATTATTTTGCATCAATTAGCAGACTCTTTCAGAATATCTACATGCCTGGGAAAAAGTGTGTTGAATTTGAATCCATATCACCTCAGAAAGGAAATAAAACGAGGGCTCCATCATTAGAAGTAGTTGCACAACAAAAGCAAAACTGCTTGCTGTCACTCCCAAATACAAACCTACGCTACTTTATATAAATTACAGTTTAAAGGAAACCTTAAAAATTGCCTACCATTATTGAACCGTGGAATTCAGTAAAAACTTTTGGGAAGTATTGGTGAGCACAGAGTAATGGAACACAAAGCTGGTAAATACTGAAATACATTTAAGACTCCGCAACATATTGAACTTGGAAAAAAAGAGTGAGTATGAAATATGCGTCATGTAAATTCCGTAAGCAAGGAAAGAGAATGCACCTTTTGTATTTAAAATTATGAATTGACTGATTTAAAAACTTAAAATAACTGACTGTTGCAGGAAAGTTAAAACATTCACTTTTTTCCTGCCTCACATTCTCTACCAAGAATAATGGCATCTATATAGACCAGCAATCTTGCCACCTGCAACTGATGCTGGCCATAAATACTCAACATTTATTTTCCCTGGTAAAAGGGTCACCTGAACTGATGATCATTTTTTAAGAAGTCAACTGAGGAATACAAAGCAAGCAAGAGTCACAGGGAAAATAAAATGTTTGCTTCCAATTTTTACACCAATCTAAGTACTTGAACATTACTAACAGCTGGACAGCTGCACCATTCTTACACCAATCTATGTACTAGAGACCAAAGTCAGGCATTTAATGTAACATTTGGTTCTTGCCACTTCGAACAGGAAGAGTTTTAAATGGCGTAACTATCGCTGAAGAAAAAACAAGAAAATCAGTTGCGGCAAGTCAGCAAATTAAGTAACAACTGCAGTAGTTCACCAGAACTATTAACCTTGAAAGCTTTGATTTACACTTGACAAAAACATAACTAAGCAATCTTAAACCAGCAGACACAGGAACAATTATACTGTTAAACTCCAACTGTGGCTTTCTTAGCAGCTGATGCCTCACGATTGAACCCAGGATTACAGTACCCAGAAAATTAAAAAAAGAAAACCCCAAGCCCCAAGAAGCTCAGTTAGAAGGGCAGTTCTCATTTGAAAAGAAATACAGCAGATTATGACCACAGCCTTAAAATCTGTCCAAAAATTTGAGAAACACCTTTAAAAAAATTTTTTTCCCCTCTCTACTGTCACCTCCTTACTGTATGGCAGTTGGCATTGTGTCAGGAGATCTCTCCCTCGCTGAAGCAAGGCTGCATTTGCCCGAGTTGGACATTCTTGCACAGAGAGAAGCCATAAGAGCAAATGTCTCCATAGAACTTTTTCTATTAATTTAATGGGACAGAGAGCACAGAACTAATATGCTCTAAATTAAAAATAGTGCCAT